CAATAGAATAAAAGATCACTTAAGCTATTCCACCTCTACTGAACTTGTAGGAAGACTACTGCCAGAGGAGGGGAGGAGTCAAACATGGCATAAGTTTAGCATCTCTGCATACCACGGCACTGAAAAAAGTGACCTAGGACTGTTTTTCAGTTACAAGCTTTGCAGCATCCCCATGATTGTGTGATCAAAATTCAGACACTTGGCAACTGTTTCATATTTATGACCGTTGCTGTGTCCCAAGGTCGTGACTTTTTAACAAGGAAGTCAATGGGGAAGCCAGATTCACTTAACAACTAAGGAAGATCATAAAATGGGACAAAATTCACTTAACAAATATCTCACTTAACAACATAAATTTTGGGCTCAATTGTGGTTGTAAATCAAGGATTACCTGTACTTTTGAAAAGAATTATGCTACTCAAAATTAGCAAGCAGGAACTTACATTAGAGGAATTTGAATAATAATAACAAAACTACATGGAAGAAATCTACATGTTAAAGAAGAAAAGCTGGATGATTTTCCACCTCTGAGAAATTTTCTTTAGCAAATTATATTAAAAACAACTTAATGGAAGACACATCAAAGCCTTTGAACTTTAGAACTGTAAATAATTAATATATATATATATATTTAAATCCCAGAAAAATTTACTAGATTGGAATATTGCCTTATTAATGTACATAGTAAAAAGACACAATGTTATGTTGATTCACACATCTCTAATAAACTGTAGTCTACCAATCTTTTTGCTAAGAAATAAACCTGTCCTCACAATGTTTTCTAGTTCAAGTGATGAATGTCAAATCACTGGGAAAACTGACAAGCAGAAGACAGTGTGTCTTAAAATGGTCTTGAATTTAATTCAGTGTTATTAATACTTGACAAAAATCCATCCAACTTGGCCTTTCCGATATCAAAGTTATGGCAGATTTGCAATGGTTGCTCTCTATCTTGCTTTTCTCTTTGGTGACCATATTGCATGCACTCATTTTCACTGGAAGGACTGAAAATGTGCCCTTCGAGGGTTGGAGAATTGGAAAATTATACACCGGTGTTTCCCCTAAAATAAGACCCGGTCTTATTTTGTTTTGGGTCCCAAAATAAGCACCAGGTCTTATTTTCAGGGGATGTCTTACCCGCTTACTTTAGGAACACTGCAGCCACGCCTCCCACACTCCGACACCTGTCATGCCACTGGCTGACTTCCTCTGCATTGGTATGACAAGCCTCGTGGTGTACTGCAGCAGCACCACTGAGCTGTGAATGGTGGCACCAGTGTGATGCACCATGTGGTGTCTGGCTGCAAGTGACCGCAAACAGCCACAAAAGGTGTCAGGGAGTGAGAGGTGTGGCTGCGGTATTCCTAAAGTAAGCGAGCAAGACATCCCCTGAAAATAAGACCTGGTACTTATTTTGGGAGCCAAAACAAAATAAGACTGGGACCTAATATAAGTGGGTGTGGGGTGCATGGGGGCCATCACCCTCACCCCACCTTAGCTTGTTTTTTATTCGTGCGCCTCGCTCCACATCATATAACCAGATAGTGGGTGGAGTCTAACTAGGGCTTATTTGAAGGGTAGGGCTTATATTAGGCACAGGCCTGAAAATCGGGCTAGGGCTTGTTTTCAGGGTAGGTCGTATTTTGGGGAATGATGGTATTTTGGGGAATGAGACCCCAAAATAATCAAGGCTCATTGGGCAGTGTTAGGCTTCAAGGTTTAGGGACCATGGTCTAGATCCTGAAGGCTATGTCTAAAACCTGAAGCCCCAAACTTCCTGACAGAAACTGGTCATGGAAGTCTACACCAGCATAATCTAGACTTGCTTTTAAAAAAATGATCCTGCTTTTATTCTTTTTTATAAATAACTCATAACTCAACATGGGGAGCATCGGTCATCCTTCTTCCCCTTCCCCTTTGAAGTGATTTGGGTTGAGAAAGTGTGACAAGTTCAAGGTCACCCATGCCTAAAATGGAACTAGAACTCAAGTCTCCTGGTTCCTAGCCTCATGCATTAACCACTAGATCAAACTGACTCTCCATAGATATAAATATAATAGTATATCTTTTGTGTTCCTTCTGATACCAACGATAGATTGCTTACATCTAATGAGAGGAGACTCCCTTTTAATAGTTGTGGTGGCCAGAGGTGGTGTTCAGCAGCTTCTGACCAGTTCTGGAGAACCGGTAGCGGAAATTTTGAGTAATTTGGAGAACCGGCAAATCCCACCTCTGACTGGCCCCGCCCCCACCTATTCTCTGCCTTCTGAGTCCCAGCTGATTGGCTGGGTCTTTTTTTGTTGCCCTGCATAGGAGAATGGAGCTGGAAAGCAGGTTATTGGGGTGGGGAGGGAATGGGGATTTTGCAGCAACCTTCCCCCACGGGTGGGGAGGAAATGGAGATTTTACAGTATCTTTCCCCTGCCACGCCCACCAAGCCATGCCCACAGAACTGGCACTAAAATTTTTTGAATCCTACCACTGGTGGTACCCATACCATCACACAAGATTGCATGCTGGTACCTGGCATCTGAAAAGAACGGCTGGCCTCTTATTATTAAAGAAGATCTTACTTTATTTCTTAACTGTCTTTACTTAGGACTAAGAATACCAAATTGTTTCCCTGAGATTCCCTTGAATCTCAAGGCCCTTCACCATCATTATTCTGATTATCAAAGTGGGCCATATTTCTAGATTTATCTCTGATCTCTGGTTTGACAATTTACAGAGAAGTTGAGAGCATTCTTTTAAAATGTTACTGCGCATACAGCTATATGAAAAGCTGGGCAGAATTGCCAGACTGACTCATTCATTGAAAAACTCAGAGATAAGCATGCAACGGGTCAGAGCAGTAAATTATTTCTCTAATAAGTTTTGGGGGATTTACCTTTCTCATAGCTGTACCTCCTTGGCGCTCAGCAACAGAGCTGACATACCTGCAAAAGAGATCATGGAAGAAAAGATTTCAAATACACAAACAGAACGAATAATAAATGCCATTAATACGGGTTACAGAGTGACAGGTGGCAGAAATTCCTGCTGGCTCTAGGAACGAGGCTGCCTGGCACGTCTCTCATTGCTCATGCAAGTTTTAGCCAAGTTCTCCATCTCGTGTCAAACCTTTGGTCTGTCTAACTTAGTTGACTGCAAGTCTGTAGGATTTCAGGTCTCTTGTGTCTCTTCCATGTCTCTAGTTTTGAACAGGCAAAAGTGGAAACCGACAGAGGAAGCAGGGGCCAGTCTTTCTCTCAGCCCAGCTCAGCACACAGGATTGTTGTTGTGGGGGAAATAGGAGGAGAAAGGAGTAGTAAGTTTGTTCGATGCCTTGTGTTATTTATAAAAATAATAAAGGCAGGATAAAAATAAACAAACAAATAAATAGTTCTCAATCTCACAAAGATGATATAGGCAATAGCACTTTCCCAACGTTGTGACTTAATAACAGGCATCCAGAGTATGTTGTTGAGATCTTAGGCTCATACACACCGATTGTGATTATCTTCTGATATCTTCATCTCTCAGAATTTCCAGGCCCTCTTTAAAGTTGCCCAAGCTGTCTACCACTACATTATCTGCTCTAGAAAGATGCATTTTGTCTGGATTTGCCTACAACTCAACTACAACTCTGGATTCTATTTATAACATGAATCATTTTAGAAACCTCCCTCAGGTTTTTTTTAACTTGCTTTTTTCTTTCTTTCTTAAAATGAGAAGGAGAATCTTTGAGGGCACCCAATAATTTAAGAAAGTTCTTTATTCTGATTTTCAGTGATTTAGGGCCGTGATGGCAAACCTATGGCATGCGTGCCACAGGTGGCATACAGAGCCATTTGTGCTGGCATGCAAGCCGCAGGCAAATTTACCTTGCTGCACATGTGTATGCCTTACAGCTGATTTTCAGGTGGTTTGAGACCTTTTTCAACCTTCCAGAGGCTTGAAAATCGCCTCTGTAGGCTTTGCAGGACGAATAATAGGCTTGTTTCATCACTTCCTGTAAACACCGGAAGTGATGAAATGGGCCTATTATTTGGCCTGCAAAGGCTTTTTTCAAGCCTCTGGGAGGCTGAAAAAGGTCTCAAACCAGCCCAAAATCAGGTGTGAGGTGCAGTGCAGGTAAGGGGGCAGCGGTGGGGGAATTGCGGGCGCAGGCGTATTGGGCATGGGGGGCACTCATTGCCTTCTGGGTGCTGGCACACGAGCGTGTAAGCGAAGCGCATGCAAAAATTTTGGCACAGGACCCCAAAAAGGTTAGCCACCACTGATTTAGGGAATGCTTTAAAGTGTGTTGAACTTCAGAGGCCCAGGATGGATTTTATTTCATATATATCTAAGTGTCTGTCTTTGTCTCTGTCTATGAGGCTGAAAATTAATGATTTTGCTGTCAAATTTTGGCAGACTAATCATGAATAAAGGAGCCACAAAGAGTGAACTTTGTCCACCTGTATCTCTAAAAACTGCTGAGATTTTCATACCCTCCAGGCTTGGTGCAGTAAGTTTCTCCTAATTCTAAGCATTGCTCTAACTAATCTGAAACTTGTCAGTTCCAATGCTTCTCCTCATTTTTTATGATCAGTGCCCATCTGGACAAAATCCTGCTGAGACAAAGGTTGATTCTGTGTTGTGAAACCAGAATACAGAATTGAATTCTTGCAAGAGAATCACGCGGCTGTTTACTTTGCCTATATAGAATGTCCTGTTTAGACTGACGGTTGACCTAATCAACTGTAACTATAGAATACGTCCACAAATAATCTCAGACATCAAGCTTTTCCATCATGGGGAGCAGATCAGCATATGGAAACTACAGGTCTTAAACAAATTTGAGGAACCACTGCACTGGGTTTATACCATGTGACCATCTAGGTAAAAACAGGACTGGCTATTTTGTGGTTGAGTCTTAGACAAACTCAGCTGTTATCATATGATATGAAGCAGATTGTCTTGAAGTCTATGTAGATTCTCAATCATCCAGGTCATGGTGTTGTGGTTCGCTGGCAGCAGGTGTGAATGGCTGAGGTCTCTGAGAGCAAGGACTCGGATGAGGGGCCTGCGTGTGATGCAGGGATGGGGCCAGGACTATCGGACGGTGGGGTGTTGCCTTTGGAGCTTGTGGAGTCTGGCAGCAGTGACGAAGAGGACCCTGGGGTGCCTGTGTTCAGTGTGTGTGCATGCAGGACAGCTGCATGGGTAACTCAGGAGTAAGGCTGCAAGGTGATGGCTCCTCCTATAAGGGATAAAAGCCAGCCTTCGGGGTTGGCTTCTTTGCAGGAAGCAAAGAAGTTCTTTCAACTCCAAGTTCTCGTGGAAGTCCTGTCTGTTCTGGTTTGTGTTCGGAGATTTTAGGTTTGGAATATTTCTCTGTAGTTAATCTTGTATTCTTGGAAGCCTTTCATAACCTTAAAAGGGCTTACTCTTATCTGGGAATATTAGTTTTAATGCCTCTTTGCTGTGAATGAACAGAATTCACAGAGACACATTAAAAAGGTTTGTTTTTACATATACTTTGTGTTTATTTGATTTGAATGAGGCTTGGGTCAGAACACATGGTTGTCCCAAAGTCCACCAGAAGAATTAATCAGTGGAGCAACTTGGCTCCAGAGGTTGTGGGAGCTCCAGCACTGGAGGCTTTTAAGAAAAGATTGGACAACTGTAGCATTTCCTGTCTGAGCAGGGGGTTGGACTAGAAGACCTCCAAGTTCCCTTCCAACTCTGTTATTCTGTTGACAATGCTTGTGAGAAGAAAGACAATGGAGATTTATAAAGCTGTCCATGATAGGGTCAGAGTTTTTTGATTGCAGGAAATATGACTTCAGTAACAGAGTGGTCAATGCCTGGAATGCAGTACCTGCCCCTGTGGTCTCTTCCCCAAACTTCCCAAACTTTAACCTTAGACTGTCTACTGTTGACCTCACCCCATTCCTAAGAGGTCTGTAAGGGGCGTGCATAAGAGCACCAATGTACCTACTGTCCCTGTCCTAATGTTTCCCTGTTATTCATACCCATTTCATGTACTCTTAATCATGTTTCCAATTATATCTGTTATCTAAAACACGGTTGACAAATAAATAAGAGTGGAAGTAGTAAAGCTTTTGTTCCCCTTCTGTAATGCTGTTACTCAAGGTCATCCCTTGAAACTTTGTGATAAGAGGTAAAGTAACACCTTGCGCAGCCCAGTGACAGGTTCCCCTCTAAGTTCTCAGTGCACAAGAACTTAATACTGTGTGATCCAGCTCTTGCGCTCTTCATTTCACAGCTCCTACAGGGATCCACGTGTCCTACCTAAACAGCATTTAGGCAGCCATTTCAGAACCTGTATCAAATCTAGAAAGCTGCTGGACTTCGACTTATCATTCCAGCGCAGGGCAGAGCCGCATGCTGAGCCAGAAAGATCCAAAAAACAACAACAAGCCCTCCTCTTTTCTTCTCTCTCTCTCTCTCTCTCTTTTTTTTTTGAGGGCATCATTGGCTTAAGCAGCAGGAGAGCCAGCTCGCTGCTGATTTGGCTACAGCCAGGCATTCCTTCAGGGTCAGCTGTTTGAAACGTTGGTGGGAGAAAACCTCAGCTGTGACGGAAAGGCCTCTCTTGACTTCCTGCGGCTTTTGGACTGAACCCTGCCGAGCACAAAGGCCAAAGAAGCAGTGCCTTCCGAGCTGAACAAAAGAGGAAGAGATTGGGTTTGCATCCCGCCGATTTAGAAACTCACGCTGGTCTGCTGACTGAAGAAATACACAAAATTGTCTGCTACAACGTCTTGCCTGTCAACGACTTCTTCAGCCTCAATCACAACAATACCACCAGCAAACAACCGATACAAACTCAAAGGAAACCACTCCAAACTCGATGGCGGAAAATATGACTTCAGCAACAGAGTGGTCAATGCCTGAAATGCCCCACCCGACTCTATTGTTACAGACTCAACCCCTTGTAGCTTCAACCTCAAACTGGATCTCAGAATGTCTCTTCTGAGTCAAACATCTCAGCCACCTTGGCCATCACATCTCAGCCATGGAGTCATAAGGGACAATTAAAGTATCAGGTGGCCTAAAATCCATAATATGGCTAGAATAGAAACCATTCTGATTTTAGAATACTAGGACTAGGGGTGACATGATAGCAGTCTTCCAATATCTCAGGGGATGCCCCAAAGAAGAGGGGGTCAAGCTATTCTCCAAAGCACCTGAGGGCAAGTCAAGAAGCAATGGGTGGAAACTAATCAAGGGGAAAAGCAACCTAGAACTAAGGATAAATTTCCTGACAGAGAGAACAGTTAACCAATGGAACAATTTGCCCCCAGAAGTTGTGGATGATCCAACAATGGAGGTTTTAAAGAAGAGATTGGACAACCATTTGTCCAATCTCTTGGACAACCTGATCAGGGGGGTCCCTTCGAACTGTGTTATTCTCTTATTCATATTTTTGGCTCCTTCTTTTAGAGCAGGGGTCACCAACCTTTTGGACCTCAGGAACCACCAAACTCATAATTTTAGATCCCAGGGACCACTATCTGGTTCTGTGGGCGTGGCCTAATTTGTGGGTGTGGCTTGGTGGTCATGTGACTGGCTGGGCATGGCTTGTATATAAATATTATAAACATTTCTATAAATATTGAATTTTTTATTTTAAAAAGAGCAATTTTTACCCAAAATCAGGCAAAGTGGGCAGATTGAGTTGCTCACAGAATCATTCAGTGATCTATCTATCTGCCATCGGCTAGCTCAGTCTCTCAAATTTGCTTGCCGTGAATTTGCTTGCAAGCAAAACTTCAGTCCTAAGGGGAAGTTAGGCTGTGTTGAGCCAAAGATCTAAAGACTAGCTAGAAAGCAAGAAATCCAACCATTTCCTGCTTCCTAGCTCATCTAAATCTCCCAGCACAGCAGAACAGCTGATGGTCAGAAAAGGAAAAATAGAAATTTAGCAGGCAAGTTTACTGGGTAA